GGGGAAAACTTGTTCAGGCAATATCAATATACATATATGCTTCACAAATTTGTTTCTGCTTATTTTATAGCGAAGATAGTTTGATTAACCATGAACTTGTAATAGAGTGAAACTTAGCAAAAAAATATAAAGGAGAGGTTCTTTTTTGCATTCTGAGAGCATAAGCCACCAGAAGCCCATCAATTACATGCTTCGTATGATGGCTTCAGAGAGGCAAGAAAAATAAATGAAGAAAGAAGCATGAACTCCATTAACGATAGGAATTTGACTGTTGACTTGTTCAGGCATTATTGGAATTATCCATTAACTTGTGAAGACTTGCTCAGAAATTTACAAAAGTTAACGGAGTTCACATGCCCATCTAGAAAGAAGCCTGAACACCTAAATTAAGAAAAGTACATCAACAAAGAAGCCTGAACTCCATTGTCCATCTACACACTACTTCAAGCCAATTAACCCTTCGCTGAGTTGTTAAATAAACTATTCACTAGTGATTTAGACCTAAGAAAGTGCCCCTTAACCTTCACAAGTGGAAAATCAGAACTAAATGAACTTCCATCTATCCTAAGGCCCAATGTAGGGTTACAATCAACCAAGAAAAAGTTCCACCGCAATTCATCGAGAAAATCCTGACTAAATAAGGAGTAGAAAATAATTTCATCGAGAAAATCCTGACTAAATAAGGAGTAGAAAATAAAACATCTATCGGAGAGTCTCAATTCACCTCCACTGCAGTTCCACCCCAAAACTCAAAGGAAATCCATGCGCGCACATTCATGAATCCACAGACGAGCATGATATACGATACTCAAAAGTGAATATGGAAACATGCGTAACCCTAAGAACTAATACCGATACAAACATACACGAAACAAATCAGAGGGAGGAAACAGAGTGCGGATTACCGGAGGGAGATCTGTAGGGAGAAGACGGAGGACTGTACTGGACGACGGCAGAGGCGGCAGAGAGGAGCGGAGAGAATCGAAGGACCAAAGCCAGATGAATTTAAGTGCAGTAAAAATAAATGCGGAAGGAAATAACAATAAAACCTGCAAGTAAATAAGTAATTGCGCAATACTCAGTGCGGATTGGGCCATCCTCTCTTTAAAAAAAAGAGTGGAATGTTTGGAAGAAATTGAGAAAATTGGAAGAGACTAAGTGTCCGTTGGAATTGAATTGAAATTGAAATTTTATGGGATTCAATTCCATATAATTGAATTCACCAATTCCAATTCAATTTCTGTACTAGAATTTCCAAATCCACATAATTTTTGTGCTACCAAATACCATAATCGGAATTGAAGTCCTCAATTCCAATTCCGTAGTTTGAATTCCGTGTACCAAATGAGGCCTAAACAAATTGGAAGAATTAAAATTAACTGAACGAAACTAGAAGAAATTGGAAAAGTTATAAAAATTTGAAAAATCATAAAACAACTTTGAAAAGAAATTATTTTAGTGTACTCTATATTATTATCATTGTAATTCTTATTATTATAAATTATTGTTATGATTATTATCATCATCACGTTATCTTAACCAATGTCTTTAAGATAAAAAATATTGTTATTTTTTACTCACAAAATAATTATTTTTGCAAAAAAAAAATTAATTAGAATATGCAGTTAACATAAATATCAAAATGTTAAATTTCAAAAAAGTTATTGTGGTTATGTTGCACCTCAAATTATTTATGCAGTATCTATTATAAAATAATATATTTATAATTATACTTTATATATTACAACATTTTGTTTTAAATATTAGACATGTCAAATAATATAATCAAACCTGTTTTTTCTTTAATAATTGACATTTTATTTTTATTGTAACTCCCATTTTGGGAATAATGACATTGAAATTTTATTTTTGTACAATATTTGTATGTTTTACTGCCACTTTAATCTTTTTCTCTAAATAGTAAACTATTTTGATTCTCAATTTTTTTTATAAAAATGACAAAATGAAAAACAAAATTAAAATTTGAAATAAATAAAAATGATAAAAAATTGAGTAATAAAGGGAAAGGTGAGGGGTGTTAAATCAATTTAGATTAATAAAACATTCTATTTAACTATTTTATCCTTTATTTTTAATATAGTTTAAAATATTGATATTTTCCTATTTTGTTATTTAAACTAATATACAAAAAAATTGTCTTATTCATATTAAAAAGTTGAAGAAAAAAATAATGAGTGCGAATTGTAAAAACAGTGAGATGAAAAATGATGAAATAATTTATAAACTATAGTTATGAACATAATAATTGTAATAATTAATAATAATAATAATAATAATTTTTAGAGTAATTAGTTGGGAAGTAGAAAGAATTTTAACAAAATAAGAATAGTTGGAAAAAACTAGAATTGAAAGAACTGAGAAGTTTCTAAAAAAACAGGAGAAATTCAAAGTTAAGAGTCTAAACTCTGTAGAATGGGCTTTTATGGCATGTTTGGGAATAGCGTTAGCATTTTAAAAAACTATCTACGGACATCATTTAACATTAGCATTTTCAAAGTAATCTACACCGTTAAATTTTATCTAAAACACTAACGCTAATCTCTAACGTAGTTTCCAAACAGACTCTTACACTCTCTATCGAGACCAAGTTTTATAATTGGTTTTAATTGATCAAGGCTCCTTTCAATAGAACTTGTTTTTCGTACCAAGTTTTATAATTGGTTTTTAAAACATAAGGTTTTGTATATTTAAGTCATGTTTTCTTTATTTGATCTGAATGGTCCTTATTAGATAAGAATAAATTTTGTTTTGATCTGAATATAGTTATATTTAACGCTATTTCTCATGTGTTCTTACTTAGGCCTTGTTTAGATGTTGGTTGTCGACTGTTGGCAGTTAATGCTAGTTATTGTGAATGACTGGTTAGTTTAGCTGGTTTGACCAGCAAGATGTGTTGGCTGATCGTTAAAAATGTTTGGTAAAATTAGCTGTTTGAAAATAGTTCTTCCAATATATGTGTGTGTGTGTGTGTGTTTGTTGGCTTCCATTCCATAAGTAAGGAAAAAGGTTTTTTCCCACTCTATGGGCCTGTTTGGGAATAGCGTTAGCGTTTTGAAAAAGATATCTATGGATAGCGTTTAGCATTAGCGTTTTCAAAGTAATCTGCACCTTTAAAATTTTATCTAAAATGTTATCGCTAATCTCTAATGCTGTTTCCAAACATGTCCTATGTAGGTAGAAAAAAATAAACACGCATGCATACTTTTGGAAATACACGGTTGGGTGAGTGTTTTATTAAAAAGAATTCATCGCGTGAGAAATTTACACACCGACGAGAGTGGTCTTACATAATACGCGGTAGAAATATTTTTTTCGCTTTTATTTACACTTCTTTTGTTATTCTTTCTTCTACCTTTTTTCCGTTGATTTTGTACTCTCCCTTTCTCCCCTGGCTAATTTGTTTTGACCCTTTTAAACTCTTTATTTATGTTTTATATTTTTACCCAAAAAAAGTTAAAAAAGAACAAAAGAAAAAATGAGCAAAAGGAAGAGAGATAGAGTCATACTCATAAAGACACAACAACAACAACAATAACAAAGAAAATGAATGAAATCTTTCTACTTTATACTCCGTATTACGGAGTGCGTGAACAAAAGGGAACAAGGAAAATACAAAAAATAATGGAATTTGACTATTTGAGTAAAGGATACAAAAACATACAAAAATAAAAATGAAAATAAATTAAGTTTAACCAATACAAGGGTGTGAAAATTTGAAATAAAATTTTATGTATATGAAAACAATTTCTTTATTTATTATTCCTTTGTCAAAAATAAATAATTTAAAAAACAAGAGAAAAAAATTAGAAATAGGGGAGAGAGACAGAGCCGACAAAAAAGGAAGAAATATTACTACGACTACAAACCTTAAGAATATAAGCGCATAAAGATCATTATTATCATCGATCAAAAGTCTATCTTCGTACAACTACAAACTTTAAGGATTTCTAAACACAACACACAAAATAGGCATTGCTTATAGTGCGTGAGTCAAACAGTTGACAAAGTTTGGATTTTTTTGGAAGATTGAAGCCTACTATGATTGATAATCAAATCATCATCATCCGTAACTTCACTCATATTGTTTCGTGTAAATAATTGAGGATTATTGCCGTTTATGGTAAACACATTTCATCTAGAAGAGAAGAGTCTTTAGGGTATCAATGAGCTCAATTACATGTGTTATCTAATCAGTTATGGCTTTTAGGAGGAGATTTCAACACTACAATCACCATCTTAATAAAACCTCCTGGCATAGCAAACCTTTTCTTCTCAAATCCTCCCTTAACACAGACACTTCTCCAAGGCCATTTAAATTCCTTAACTATTGGATCTCCCACCCAAATTTCAACAAGGAATAATGGGACAATATAAAACTTTATTTTATATTACTAGCAGAAAAACATAAAAACAAATACAAAAAAAAAACATAATACTCCTTAATGTTTTAACATAAAAACACTCAAAATCATCATTATCAAAAACCAAGAACTAGGACGACTTCATCGTGGTCAACACTTTCGTCCTGGTAAAAATTGGTTCTCCCTACCCACCCTAAAGGTTTTGATTCTAATTCCGTAACCACCAATTTTGGTTCTAATACCAGTTTGAAACTAAAATTATGTTCAGTTCAAGGTTGTGCTAAGATATCAAATTTGACACCATTTTAGCATCAAATTTTTTACACATGTGCACGAATAAAAATTAGAAAACTTTCAAATAAATACTACGTATGTAAGAAAATTAGTTTTGGATTAAAAAATCATCTTTATTTGTCTTTGAGATGATACGTTATAAATTTAGATATACTTCATAGGATATTAATGTTTATTGATCATATGTAAATATATTTTTAAAGTCGTTGGAATAAACTGAAATGAGTTATAAAAAACTAGAAAAAAAGTTAGAAAAAAATTAAGTTTTTCATTCCAAAAGAAGAGACCCCAACTCTTTTCCTAATTCTCTATGTTTAACAAAAAAAAAATAAAGAGCATTCATTAAGACAAAATAAATATGTTGAGACACGAACAAAATATGATTCCATATTATTTTCTGTTCACGTTTTTTCCCATGTAGCAATAAAACATGCAATCTATTTAAGAGTTTGTTCTCTTTCATAAACCTGATTGTTTTTAACTTGCATTTATTCAAGTCTAGTTTAGTCCTTTCTGATCTGAATCTTTCGGATCTTGAATTCATCATGAATTAATCCGGTTGAAGCATCAACGTTCATTTTCATAGAACTCTCGTCACTGTGAGCTCTCCAAATAGAGCAACCTGCAAACGCAATCAGCCAATCAATCCGTAAGCCACAAGTTCCAAGTGATGATTTCATTTGTGCATTGTTATCCTATCTCTCTCTCTCTCTCTTCAGGAAGAAAGAAATCCCATCTCAGCGAGATGGCTAAAGTGCAAAAGCAGCATAGGAATTCACTAAAAATAATGTTTGCTAATTTTCAATGTTTATGCTTTTAACAATGAGTCGGTTCAATTGAAGATTTGAAGTTCAGTAGCCACAAATGAACAAAATGCAAAGGTAAAGACAGATTGTGCACTTGGGATGACTTATTTTCAAGGAATAAGTGCCTTTTAAAGTACAAAAAAAACACTCTAAGCACTTAAAATAAATGAAGGAAAACTTTACCATAACTATCCCAAACATGCTCTACTAACATACCAACAAACCTATCAGGAATATATCAAGTGTAGCCCGCGCATGCGTATTTCCACTAGGGAATCCCACTACCCAGAGTTGGTCAGTAATACTCACACTTCACAGAATGTGATATGAACAGCATGTGCATTGCTAATGACTCAAGGTTTGTATTGGAATGTTTAAGAACATGAAGACTATTTTATCAATAATTACAATTCGGGAAACATAAAGAAGCTAGTGTGGAATTACCTATTATGTGTTCTGCTTCAGAACAAAGGTTTGTAAAACTTCTTTGGAGGCAAAATAAATCCAGTTTGTAGAGCATAAATCCAGTTCCTTTAAGTTTCTTCCAACATCCAGCTTTTTTTTCCAGTCCTAAAGAACATGTTCTAAGAGTGTAATATAAGCTATTACCAATTATGTAAAGTGAATGTTTCTTCTGGCTAAAGGTGTGTTCAGTGATCTGTAGAGTATGCTGGCAGCCTTTTGATAGGGCAAAAGCACCGAAAAGGACACGATTCATTGACTCAGTGATGAAGGCTAAAATAGGAAATAACCCTAATATCTATTGAAGAAGCCAATGGGAGACCCAATCTGTGATCAAGAATGGATATACATGGAAAACTGGCATATGCATAAATCAATCTTTGGAGCCCTCATATCTCTTCTCAAGCACTGTTTTTGTGCAATTGTGCAAGGTTTCTAAGATATGAAGAGAATTATCTCCTTCAATCAAATAGACCAGGACCTTAATCGGTCTTTTCCCCTGTCAGTTAGGAACAACAATGATCTACTTCTCTATACTAGATTATTGACAGGAGAGGTATTTACTCTGTTAAACATTCTTATAAAGAAGAGCACTAACCTGGTGGAAGGAACCAAGGCAATACCTTGATGCTTCTGATATTGGGAGAATATGAAGTCTGTTAAACAGCAATAGTACCCAGTACTGCCTTGGCACTGCTCATGTACAATGCTTACTGGAATTATAAATTGGTGAGATATGCTACTATCTTGTTTAAGGCTAAACCTAGAGAACATTCTATGTGATAATTAGAGCATAATTCCTTAGTGTATCAATCTTTTCAATAACTAAAACAATGAGATCGTGGTTGAATTCAGGAATCAAATGTTGATAGCAGCTCCTAAACAAACCATGTTTGTCTTTTTGCATTCTCTACGCACTAAATTTTGATCTCTTGAATATCTTTTAGGACAAAACATCATCCTTTTTTCCCTTAAAGTTCAGAATCTCTTCCACGATATACTTGTGACTTTTACACTATGTTTGGTTCAAGGAATTTGAAAGGGAAAAGAAAAGAAGATGAGACGGAAAACAGTTTTTTGTTTGGTTAGAGAGGAAAAGAAAAGAAAAGTGAAAGGAAAAGAAATGAGAAAGCAAGATGCACTAACAACAACAACAACAACAACAACCCAGTTAAATCCCACAAGAGTAGGGTCTGGGGAGGGTGTGTGTACGCAGACCTTGCCCCTACTCGAAAGTAGAGAGGCTGTTTCCAAAGAGACCCCCGGCTCAACGTCGAAAGTTGCATTGCTGGACTAACTGCTACTTCATTAATTAGAGAAGCACAGATAGTTTAGAGAAAATCAATTTCCTCCCATTTTGTTGAGGAAAATGAGAGAAATCCATTCTTTTTCTTTCCTTCCGAATTCCTTGAACCAAACATAATGTTAAGCAATAACTTGCACGCATTAGACAGAGATTTAGAAATTTGCACAAAGAAATAGTTTCCATAAAGTGAATCAAACCTGTGCAGTAGAGTATTTGTATCTTGGAGGCAACACAATTTATGGATGAACTTATTCACTACTTAAAATCAATAGGAGACACTAACCTCATTGGCATGAGACAGGTTAACATGTTTCACATGCAACCATTATATAAATGGTGATGCGAAGCCCGTAATTAAAAGGTTTAAATGGGAAAAAAGGGTTTAAATGCCAAAAAAGTTTCAAAATAGAAATCAAAAGTAAAACAAGTTCACTTTGGTTCCAAGTACAACATGAATACCCACATAAAGCTTAAGACTCAATGCACAATCTAAATTATCTAATGGAAGGTAGAGTGATTAAATATTATGTTTAAATATGATCATATTAGGGAAATTTATATTTGTAATATGGAAAACTGGCATATGCATAAATCGATCTTTGGAGGGGTCCCTGGCTGTTGAATATACATAGCCCTCATATCTCTTCTCAAGCACTGTTTTTGTGCAATTTGTGCAAGGTTTCTAGGATATGAAGAGAATTAGCTCCTTCAATCAAATAGACCAGGACCTTATTCGGTCTTTTCCCCTGTCAGTTAGGAACAACAATGATCTACTTCTTTATACTAGATTATTGAAAGGAGAGGTATTTACTCTGTTAAACGTTCTTATAAAGAAGAGCACTAACCTGGTGCAAGGAACCAAGGCAATACCTTAATGCTTCTGATATTGGGAGAATATGAAGTCTGTTAAACAGCAATAGTACCCAGTACTGCCTTGGCACTGCTCATGTACAATGCTTACTGGAATAATAAGTCTGGTGAGATATGCTACTATCTTGTTTAAGGCTAAACCTAGAGAACATTTTATCTGATAATTAGAGCATAATTCCTTAGTGCATCAATCTTTTCAATAACTAAACAATGAGATTGTAGTTGAATTCAGGAATGAAATGTTGACAGCAGCAACTAACCATGTTTGTCTTTTTGCATTCTCTACCAACTAAATTTTGATCTCTTCATTTATCTTTTAGGACAAAACATCATCCTTTTTTCCCTTAAAGTTCAGAATCTCTTCCACGATATACTTGTGACTTTTACACTGTGTTTGGTTCAAGGAATTTGTAAGGGAAAAGAAAAGAAGATTGAGACGGAAAACAGTTTTCTTGTTTGGTTATAGAAGAAAAGAAAAGTGAAAGCAAAAGAAATGAGAAAGCAAGATGCACTAAGAGAAGAGAAAATCAAATTCCTCCCATTTTGGTGAGGAAAATGAGAGAAATCCATTTTCTTTTCTTTCCTTCCAAATTCCTTGAACCAAACATAATGTTAAGCAATAACTTGCGCGCATTAGACGGAGATTTAGAAATTTGCACAAAGAAATAGTTTCCATAAAGTGCATCAAACCTGTGCAGTAGAGTATTTGTATCTTTGAGGCAACACGATTTATGGATGAACTTATTCACTACTTAAAATCAATAGGAGACACTAACCTCATTTGCATGAGACAGGTTAACGTGTTTCACATGCAACCATTATATAAATGGTGATATGAACCCTGTAATTACAAGGTTTAAATGGGAAAAAAAGGGTTTAACACGAATACCCACATAAAGCTTAAGACTCAATACACAATCTAAATTATCTAATGGAAGGTAGAGTGATTAAATATTATGTTTAAATATGATCATATTAGGGAAATCTATATTTGTAATATTGATTAATAAGGAGTATTTCACTTTAAACTGAAGCACAAAATTAACTTAATCGTGCAATAAAAGGTACATCTATCTAATTAACTTCATTTTTTTAGTATGCAGTACACCTAATTAACTTCATTTTTTTTTAAAAATAAAATTATATTCTAAAAAAACTCAACCTTCAATAGCACCACCTTCAACATATTTTTCAGCCCCATCTACATTAGCATCCTATTTTTTAAATTTTTAAAGCATAAGGAAGAAATTCAACAAATAAACTAAAACGTACCCAAATTTCTATATGTCGACAAGTTATTTAAAATTTAACGTGGACACAGAAAATATTTTACTTTTTAAAAAAATATGAGAGATTTAAATAACATGTTAGGAGTGAGACAATTATTTCCATCCATATATACTCAATAATACTACTACATGTTAGGAGTGAGACAATTATTTCCATCCATACATACTCATCTATGCCAAAACGAACAGGTATTAGCTATTAGAGAATATAGAGAAGTCCTTTAGGTTCTGCCATATACTCAAATGAAAGAAATAATTCATTCCAGCAAAAATATGACATGCAAAAAATACCTTTTAGAGAAAGTTCTTGAGTTCAACAGTAGCTTACAAAATCACACACCTGAAACCCAAAAGGAAAATTGTAATGGAGTTGGGGAATACACTTCCTAATTGCCCTTAAGACTTCTATCTAAACCCAATACAGATGGCTTTATATCATAAAGAGTTCTCCTTAAAACGAATATAACAACCCTTATAGAAATTATGAAATTATATATTAAGACTTGTTTTCTACCTTGTGCTTCACACGGACTCGTATAATCTCACGTAAAATATAACTATAAGCTCTATTTAAAATATAAATAAATATGAACTACCCAAAAAAATTATCAATACATTTTTAAATATGATATTTTAATGCATGTTTGCATAAGAAAATAAAGTTTTATTAAGAAGAAAATGATACAAAAGGAAGTGAGGGCCAAACCAAATCCCCTCAAAGGAGAAAAAAAGCATAACATAAGATTAAAAACTTTTTAAATTAAAAGTACTGAGGGAAAAGACCGAGCAGAAAAAAACAGAATCCTTATCAACTAATAAATAATACTACAATCATTGCAGATTCTCAAAGGAGATCAACATTGCAGCATTACCAAACAAAATCAGCATCCCAAGCCAGTGTAGCATTGCAGCCTAACCAATTTGCAGAAAATGAAACCTAAAAAACAGTCAAATTTCAATGCATCAAAACTCTCTAGGAAGAATAGGTGAGTAAGCAAGACAGAAATAACTAAGATATTGCCATTACACCTAATGTGTAGCTACAAATCCAGTAATAAAATGATCCCAAGGCATCATTAGTTAAGATATTGCCATTAGGTCTAATGTGTAGCCATAAATTTAGCAACAAAAAAAACATGAAAAGGAAAATTAAATTTAATGGCAATGCAATATCATTTTCGCAGAGCAGTAATATAATTAGGAGTTAACTCAAAGCAATATAGTAATAATCCATTCCATGATGCTATAAACCAGTTTTTTGGATAATTTCATCAGTTCTATGAATATCTATGGCTATATGTGAAGGGAACTATCTTTTAACTGCAACTTCAGCAAGTCTTTGAACTCATTCCTCTTAGTGTGCCAACATTAGATGAATAAAAAAGAGAGAAAATCAAGCATGCCTGAAATGTTGTACTTAATTTCTCTTTTCATACTTCTATCTTTCGTACTTCCTATTTCGTTCTTTTTATCCAAAAAAAGGCCATAAATGACATCAAATTACTTGTTGAAATGAAACAAAGAGTGTGCTCAATGTCGTTTTATCTCTTTTTCTAGCATTTTTGAGTGAGTATATAGATGGGATTGAATAAGAGTAAGTGTGAATTTATTCTCCTTTAATGATTTGACCCATGTGTCATTGTTCTAGAATGAACATGCTAGGGAAAAATGGAAAACTTACATTGTTGATATGGACCATTCCTCTAGAATTATACTATACTATCCATGGTTATTGCATAAGTTTTTATTACATGGGATCATGTGACATGACTTTCTCAATCTACTGATAGACCTAAACAACAATATTTAAAAACAGTATAGTAGTATACACCAAACTCTAGACTATCCTGCATGTGAGAAAAGAGATTGTTTGAAATTGTACTAACCATATGAGTAACATTGGTTGCTACACTGCTTTTGTGCAGGAAGCTTCCCTGAAAATTCCTACGATGGTGTATATAAAATTTATTGTTATTATTTCTACGGGGCACTAGCTTTTCTAATTAGTTCCTGATTATTGAGAAGATAAGAATACATGTAGCGGCAGTTGGTAGCTGCAAAAAATTAATGCTGGCTGCCACTAGTGTTGTTCCAGTAAAGCCAATCTCAATGGCTTCCAATTTCATGCTGTGTTTTTTTTCTATTCATTTTTCAAGGAAACACCATTCCTAAATGATTTTACATGTTAATTGGGAAAAAATAGGGTAAAGAAGATGCTGAAAATCTCACAGTTTATTGTGATCTTTGATCTTCCATGAAGTTGAGAAGTCAATGTCATACTTAAGTGTCATGTTTGGGTGTAGATGATTTTCTATGCATTTTTCAAAGAAACACCATTCTTAAATGATTTCACAGATTAATAAAGCAAAAACAGGGCAAAGAAAATGCTAAAAATCTCAGAGAGTATATTATGATCTTTGATCCTCCATGAAGCTCAGAAGTCAATGTCATACTTGTTTGTCATGTTTGGGTACAGAACTCCTTAGTGTTGTCCTCTTCCACTGTTCTATTTTCCTTCTCCGACAATTTATCAAACAGTTGATGGATATATACCTACACTATGTTTGGTTCAAGGAATTTGAGAGGGGAAAGGAAAAGAAATTGAGAAGGAAATCATTTTTTTGTTTGGTTAGAGAAAAAAGTGGAAGGAAAAAAAATGAAAAAGGAAAAATGTAATAAGAGGAGGGAAAACCAAATTCCTCCCATTTTAAGGAGGAAACTGATGAAAAACCATTTTCATTTCTTTTTTCTTCCAAATTCCTTGAACCAAACATAGTGCTAAGTAACACCTCAAGAATCTAACAGAAATGCTGGTAATACTACTATGTGTCTTCCCCACAAAGAATTTGAGTCAACAAATTGGGAGGATCTCGATGTAGATTTATCTTAAGAGCATTTCACCTCATCAGCAAGACCTTCATGGGATAATATATCTTTCTTTGCCAATAAGTTATTAATACTTTTTTTAAAGTTGCAAAGATTACTTATGCTTTGTCCTTAAAATGGTCAAGAAGTTCAAGAGGAATCAAATGAGGCAAACCTTCACAGATTCTTCTTCACAATCGTTTTGTCGAGCAAGCGGATGACCATATTAATTAACAAAAAATCACATCAAAACTCAACACCTTCAGTAACCATGTGCTAAAATTATATCTATGTCATCTTTCCCGAGTTCAATATAAGAGAGCCCATATGCACATAGCCTCCGTAAGGATACAAATCAGTTAAATTTTATCTGAGCATTTCACAAACCACCATCATCAGAATATATAACTTTAACCAAGTACTGGATATTCTCAAGAAAGTGAAGTTATAGTGATCTATAAATCAACAAATATAAAACTCAAAGCCAAAAGAACACCTGCCAGACAAAGCACAACGCAAGGAAGAAGGCTGAATGAGCGGCAAGGAGGAGCTAAAATGGCAATTAAAGGGGTTGAGCTGGGAAGATGGTGCTGCCAAACGGGAAGATGAAGAAGCAAATTAGTGGAGAACGGCAATTCAACCTAGGATAAAAAATGTCGTGTCCTTCTCAATGTGGGGGAACTGAGCACACATAAGTTATCTTCTCTATGGAGAAACAATGGGTTAAGCATGGGAAATAATCAAAGACGCTGAAGCCAGGGACGCAAATCATTCAAGAATTTGAGGTGGTTGAGAGAAGAGGACATCCTTGGCAGAAGAGTTGGAAAGTTAAATTTAATGAAATCAACACAGTAAAATAAGTTCTATTAAACTTACTCTCTTTAAATATGAATATTGAGAATTTGATGTTAGCATAAATTCCTGTCTCTAGTGGGAAACTGGGAGTAACTAAGGAAGAGTAATTGTAGTTAGTTCTCTTTTGTACCTACTGCTAATTAGTTCTTTTTTGTACCTACAGCTAGCCCAAAAAACCTTGGCATTACTAAAAATGTGAGAATAGGAATAAAATATGGTTATCAAATTTCTGCCTCAAATATCTAATGCTTTTTACTTTCTCTCAGACACAAAAACTGGTTGGATCAACCGTACTTGTAGCTGACAATGATAGACCAGCTGAGTAGGAGATAATCCATGTCAAGCACTCAAGCATCATCTCATATGCCACGCGTCAGATTCGCACCTAAAGAACTCTATTTTATAAGTAAATAATTAAATAAATCAACGTAAACAAAACATTTATAATGATACCTTATTAAACAATCTACAAATAGTCCTTTAAGAAAAAAAGTAAAAGCAAGGATCATATAACTAACTCTTCAAAAGTCCAACCACTTTAAAAACATACCTGGTCTAGAAAGCTTTTATTCTTCATTCTACATAAGCCAGCAATGCCATTTCCTCTGCTGTATGTAGGCTAGTAGGTTAAGAAGGAACCTGTCGATATCAAGTCCATTAAATTCAAAAGATCAAAATAAAGGTCCATCAAGTACACCCAAACAAATGCAATAAATCTGTTTAAAAATCAACAATTTGCACGGGAAAGAAAAGTAATTCTGCAAAAATGAGTCAACCATTCCAAGCAGTTGGACCATGAACATTCTGGAGTAATGAACCACAGTTTCAAGAACAGTTTTGGAAGGCCCGGAAGCGGACATCAACCACTCCAACTCCTGTTAAGATTTGTGTAAGCAAATCATCAAGCACATTATGTGCGTCTGTGAGAGAGCACTAAGAACCTGAGACACGCATCCCAAGATGTAGAGGAAATTTGCTCTCGTCTGTTCAAATTTAAGGGGAAATTTTACACTTGTGCTTGAAGAGTAATTCCAACAAACCAGCATAGAGAAAATTTCATGAAAAAGGGGTAGGGTTGAGGAACTGGGAAACTATATAGTTTGAACACACAACAATAGAATAAAGAGTAAAGAAATAGGTCTTCGAAGGAAATACCTGATTGATGAAGGCATTTTATTTGTAAAGATCTGATAGGGTATCCTTAGATCAACAAATATAGAAATCGATGCCAAAATAATACTTGCCAGACGAAGCAGAACGCAAGGAAGAAGGCTGAATCACCAGCAAGGAAGAGCTAGAGATCAGCGGAATACTGACGGGCTGAGCGGAGGAGAGGAGACTGCGCTGCCAAACACAGAGAAGATGAAGAAGCCTCCAATATAAGAACAGCAATGCTAAGACGGACCACGGTTCATAAACTCACCTTAAAAAACCATGTCAGAAGTCCAGTGCCATCCTCACAATTGATGAATTCTATCTCACACACACACACACACGCACGCACGCACGCACGCACACACACACACACAGATATATATATATATATATATATATATATATATATATATATATATATATATATATATATGATGGAACATATTTAATCTACTCATGATCTGGTAATCATCCAATGGTAATCATAATATATATGTTAGCAGGTTGTGCAAAAAGATATATTTGAATAATGTGATTCAGAAAAGTGTGAAATGTCAAGATTGGCATAAAACCAACTTCCCAAGGAAAACATATCAGAAAAGTCACTCATTCAAAATGGTGTAAAACAGTGTCAGCATTAAGTTCATACAAAATACTTACAATGATATACTCCCAAAATTGTGTTAAATTCCTAATTTTTTTCGCAAGTCCCAAAACCATGTCTCATTTCGTTAAGGGAAAAAAAATGAGATTCATATTATTTCTCTCCTCCACATATATATCAATGAACAGTTTTCACTTCCCTAATTCAATTCCCAACCAAATTGTGTCCCGATTCTGGGACAAGGTGAGTGCATAAAATGTGAATGCTGAATTCATACATGAGGCTACCATTCAAAAGGCGAACTCCCCCAACACTCTCATAGTATTTCCCTTCCCTTACTGCTAAAGTCACTAGTGGCCTAGAATCAAAGCTCGTTATAAATATTTGATGATAAATGATTAAATGTAAAACATGATGAAAGCATCTATGAAGTATTTTTATTTTTCACACATAAGATGTATACTAATGATTGTAACAAGAAAAAGTATCCTAAAGGCCTTACACAAGATATAGATTAAGACATAAACTATACATATTTCACTACTCAAAGTTTTAAGGGAGACAGTTTATCACTTTGTAGTTATGATGGTAAACCTGTGAGCGAACTACAAAAACTTTATCCTCATCGGTTTAATCACTTGCTACAGAATATATTTTATTAGAACGTGCAAGAGTATTGCACCAAATGTAGCCAGGCTTTGGGATGTTTTCTATTTTCCTTCCACTCTTAACGTCGTCTTATTGCCTCTTTTATGTGACATTTGAGTAATCAAGTGTGGATCAAATTTGATGCTTCAGTTGATAAAAGAAAATCATTCAGTTAATCTCTATTATTAACACATTAGTTATCTTCAAACTTGTACATCCACTACTGCATCCAAGCAAAATAAATTCTTAAAGCCTCTCAACATCAATATACTAAAAAATGGCAATAAGATAAATGAAAAGAACTCAACATCATAAAGTGTAGGAAACAGCCAGAACTAGAGTAATTTAATAAGGGAATATCATGGAACATGTACCAAGATTTACAAATCTCCTTAAGAAATGAGTATAATGTCAACTTGTAAGTTTCAAGATGTTCCATAACCCAAGTGTAAGCCTTGTAAAGCGCACTAACATTTCACATTTCCAAATGTGTCATTCACTCTTCTAGATAGGAACCAAAAGGAGAGCGAGATTTAACAGTCAGATCTAACAATAAGAAGAAAAAGAGAAGGATAAATATCTTTTGCAATGTCGACACCAACAGTACAAAAAAATCAACAAGCAGACAGCGCTCGAACAAATGTAATCTTCAAGAGGGGCAGCACTGTAAAATAAGCAGACACGTACCCAATAAGCCTATCATGTATATATCAAATTCTAGCATTTGTAAGATATACTGTTTAACAGAAAAACACTCAAGATCTAATAACTTAATCCACTTTTCAAAATTCAATTGATAATTTCCACCTAGTTGAAACAAACTGATGCTAAACTACTATTATTTCAACCCGTCGTGTGAGACAGCCACAGTCACACCCGTGAATATGTAATTTTTCCTTGCTCCAGACAGACACTTCCTCTAAAAGATGCCATAGTGCCACTAAGCATATATCAAACCCAGGTCGAATGGGAGATGAAAAATACTCTGAGTTGGATCGGTGAATAACGCCCTTTGCTGACTGAAGCACAAGCGGCAAGGAGGAACGGCACCAGGGGCACGTCTTGCCACGTTTGAGCCACATTGAGATGCAATCGCAGTGGAAAACTTGAGAGCAGCAAAGCATCTCGCTCCATGGCTCGTCCTGTTTGAATATTTCCCTGCAGATGGGGCAAACCCACTCTTCTTCTTCCCCTTCCCCTTCCCCTTCCTCTTCCTCCTCCCCGTCTCCTTCCCTGTCCCCTTCCCCTTCCTCCTCTTGCTCATATTGCTCCTCCTCCTCTGGCCAGGCAACTCTACAAAGAGCATTAATGAATTTTGAGAACCAATCATTTATTTTGGCTGCCTCATCATTCTCATTAATGTCTCCTAGGTCCAAAATTAATATCTTGAGAGCAAATAGAGATTCAAGTTCTTCTTTTTTTTTCTTTTCCTCATAATCATTATCAGGAATGAGGACTGCTTGGCCTTCATCATCACCATTCTCAGGAATGAGGACTGATTCGCCTTCATCATCACCATCATGAGGAATGAGGACTGTTTCACCTTCTTCCATGAATCGTTTTCCTTCTTCGTCTATAAGGGGGAGTGTGACGTGGGTCACCTCGCAGATTTCCACCACGAACTTGGGAGATAACCCCAGAGAAGCAGCCCCCTGGCGAAGTTGGTCCATAATCGACTGGTGAGAGACTTTGAGAACCCTAAGGGCGGTAAGCGCTTCAGATATTATTTTTAGATTATCCTTATCATCTATAATGATTCCGTCTTTAGAGCAAGGAAGCTCAAGGGATGACTGCCTTGCTTCCCGCCAATCATTCTCCTCCAGGAACTCCGTCATAGGATTTCCTCCTGCCACGCTTAATCTCAGGATGCTCTGCACCTTGAACAAAACGGATGAAGAGGATGCCGTACCTGGAGATGCTGCTGCGGCGGCGATGGGGTGGGCTGCTTTAAAGGAGGAATCTGGGTCTTCATCGTCGACGTTCTCAGGTGTGAAAACTCGAGTTTCGTAATAACATCTGACTTTGCTGCTACATCCGGATTCGGAAGAAGCCGCCATAGCCAGAGCTTGTTTGTGGCGAGGGAAAAAGGAATCGATAGCGAAACGCCTTTGATCTCGATTTGTATATTTAGGAAGGAAAATGCTATGTGTACCCCGGGTCACCATTTACCCATTCTTTACCCCCGGGTCACCATTTACACCAAATAAAAGGTTACCCATTCTTTCCCTTCTCTGCGCCCCCACCCGTCTCTCTCTCTCTTTTCCGATCAATTTCCAACAGGCGTGCACGATGTGCGTTCATCTTCTTGTTCCAATTCCTCAGTACCAGTGTCGCCATCTTCGTTTTGCTCCTTCGTCTACCACGTTGCCCTCTACTCCAAGCCTTCGTCTTCGCACTTCCGCACAGGTAAATCAAATATGGTTTGGTTCATTGTCATTTCCGAATTTGTTCATTTTCGATGGAGGTTTTGATTTTCCAATTTAATTAAGGTAAAAATTGAATTTGATTTTGTTCACAGATCTAATTTTGTGTGCGCTTGCATATAGTTCTTGGCAATTTTATTCAGTGCATACACTAAATTTCCCAGTCTACTTTTTTAATACTGCGCTAGGTAAAATTTTATCTAATTTATTTTCAATTTGCTTCAATAACTTGATTATCTTACCAAAATAGTGATTGAAGCTGCCAAATTTGTAGGCCTAAACCTATACCTTTTGGTGTTTTTTCTCTGTTTGCCATTTTTTTTATTCCCTTCTCGCTTCCAATAAATCTTGACCTCTCTTATAAATAAAGAAAAGTAGAAGTTGATTTAATGTGAATTTATTTGTCATGTACTTATAAAAGTACTTGAGTTAAATTGGGTTTAATGCTCAACAGCTCAATTTTCGAATGGTTCACTGCCTTTTACTTTTTTTTCACATGCTTAAAGCACTTGCATAAAATATGTAATCAGTATTGTTTTTTCGCATAAAATGTTTGTGATTCATTGAACACAGACACTCATTGCCTGTTTCATCTGGATAAAAATTGCATCGATCTAATACGCCAAATTATCCTATATAAAAAGTATTTCACAGTTTTCCAAAGCAAGAATGAAATTTACAATTACCACTATTTAGTTACAAAGATTCTTAATGTCTGTAAGTATTGATACATAGACATTTATGATCTGTGTAACATTGAAGAAAATTACAGCAGTCAAATATGTCAAAAAATCCAATAACAAGAATATCTTACAATTTTTTCGATGGTGTAGAAAAGTTACAATAGGCACTATCAAGTCATATAGATAATTAATGTCAGTAATTTTTTGAAAACAGACACCTACTGTCTATGTACCCTGAATAAAATTGCTCCGCCATCTCAACTAGATTCCATCGCTCCAGTGACGCTGTTGAAGGAGAAGAAAGACGATGTGGCAATAGGGGAGGAACAGGCGTTGACAACGAAGAAGATTGGCGGGGCGGGGAAGAGGATCGATCTCATGATATAGATCCTATGGCGGTGATGATGAAGGCATGGTGCTGCGTTGATCATCGGCAGGGAGGGAGGGAGTTGAGGGATCTAAGGAGGAAGAAAGAGTGAGTGAGGTTACCGAGACATTATGTGTCTTTGGTAAACAAGTGTTAGTGTATGTGAATTACTTACTCATAGATGAACATTGTAGATGACATTTATTTTTTTCCAATAGATTATATATGAGTTACATTTTGAAAAAAAGGAGTATCTACAAATGTATTTCTTGCATAATTTGTGTTAGTCTTTTACTTTGGTTCAATGAAACACGAGAATTATTAGTTCTAGTAATCTAGAATTGTGTCATCTGAGTGTTTGGCCTATTTGGAGTTGATTATTACGTACACTTTCATGCATATTTAAAATGGTGCATGTTTACATCGCTGATTAAACTATTTTCGTTTGTCTTGGTATGCTTGAGATTTATTATGGCCTTTGAAAGCTTAGCTTTAGACTTTTTTTTTAAATAATTGTGAACTTTACTAATTTTGTTCTATGATGTATTGCAGACTAACATGGAACTCTACCTTGCTCCTTCAGCTTTTGTTCTCTCTGTTTGTGACGGAACAAGGTCAAGCTTTTATCAGTCTATGAAGTTGCGCTTGATTTTGTGTATAATTCAAGACTCAACTTTAGCTCTTTGGTTGTATAACCTCAGGCTTTTGGGTCGTTAGGTCTCATTGGCTTTGTTTTTTTGTATGTGTTGGCTCTTTATGTATTACATTACCATCCATACAACTAGATATCGACTCAAAAAAGTGTACATATTTCATGTTTGTTTCGTAAAACTCTTTATTTGTGAGACAAAAATCATGATTGAATTGCTTTTCTTTCGCACCTAAGCAGCTCAAGAATCTTGATTGAATTGCTTTTCTTAAGCACCTATGCAACTCACAAACATTAGTGTATGTGAGTTTGTAATCACAAACATTACGTATCTGTAATTGATTAGAAATAGATGTTTATTGTCTATTGGGAGGAAAGGGCAATTACGGGGAAGCCGGTGGCGGCGAAGAAATTGAATGTATGCTTCGTCGCCCTTCTCCGATCCAAATCTTTATTTTGTTCTCCATGTATTTAATATATGAAAATTGCATTTGTTAAATATACCAAATAATACAATAATAATAATATTTCATGATTTTTTCTTATATTGTAAAAATAAACTAAGTACGGAGTATGTTTTGATCACATAGACAACAAGCGTATGTAATTTATCGTACACATAAACTTATTGTCTGTAAAACCTAAATACAAACTTACATCTGTCAAATATACCACATTGATGGGTATATCCTTATACCCGACCCGGATCACCGAAAGGGACGGGTCAAAACATGACCGGTCACTTTTATCATGTCACCAAATGATGTTAACTCTTCGATTGGGACGGATAAAAAATTGACCGGTCACTTCCACTAAAAAAGTGACCGGTCACATTTTGGGCGATAGCCAATTCGCCACTTAATGTTGCGAAGGATATTCTAGAGGACCAAAGAGATGGGCTGAACTCAAGAAATGACCGGGTAACCTTTGAGAAAAGGTGACCGGTCAGATTGCGCTACTTGAGAAGGGCAATCAACATCGGAGGCTAGAGGACACCCCGCCACTCATCCATCACGAGGCAAACAGTGAAGGGAATGATTGGCGTTTTGCAGGATTGATTGGATTGAGAATATCCATGTTAGTCTTTGATTGAACAGTACATGTCTTGGCTTGTAGTTGCTAAATTCATTGATTGAATAGTAGATTGATTATGTACAGTGACCTTCCCACGGGCTTCCTATTTTGTCTATGGATGAACGAGGAAGGTCACAAATCCTCCTCTATAAATATGATGATATTGGATAGAGGAGGGGATCCATTCTTTCTCTCACTAAAAATAGTACACTCTTGAGACAGAGTAAGAAATATAATTCGGACTGAGGAGATTTACCCGGTCTAGGTCATACTTTGTGTTCTTGTTGTGTGTTTTATATTACGGGTCAAGTGTCCAGGTTAAACCCGGTTAACCCGCCCAGCTATATTTATACCATCACACATAATGTTATCATAAAGAATGTTTCACAATTTTCTCTAGATTGTAAAAAA